CTGAGCTCTGCCCCGGCGTGGTGCCACCGCCTCAGGCACCCCGCGTGCTTCCGCCCCGCTCGGGGCACCTCGCGACTGCCCTCTCCCTCTCCCGATGCGACTCCCCGGGCACGGTCGGGAACAGCCGCGGCCCCGGCCCCAACTCTAGGCGCCGCCGCCCCGCGCTTCCGTCCCGCACCCGAGCTGGGGAGCCACCGTGCCACACGCCGGCCCGCCCCGAGCCCGCCAGGCAGCCAAGCTCCCCGCTTCCCGGCGGGAAGAGCCGGGCGGGCTCGGAGCGAGGACGAGCGGGGGCCGCGGAGACCCCAGCGCGGGCCGGGGGGCTAGCTCGGAAAGCCGCCTCCTGCTCCTCCGCAGAGGCGCCGGGCTCCCGCCACCCTGCTCTCGCCGCACTCCCACCTACGCGGCCCCCTCCTCTGCCGCTTCCTTTCTCCTGCCTCCCCACCTAAGCCGTCTCACTTCCACTTTCTCTAGGAGGTTGTAAAGTCAGGCTTTGTGTGGCTGCTGCGCAGCGGGGCGGGATTTCCCTGCACCCCTCCCGGAGCCCCGCCCCCCGCCCGGGGCAGGCTGGGAGTTGTAGTCCGGCGGGGCCTCTGCTCCGCCTGCTACCGCGGGCTGGGAGCTCCCCCACTCGCCCAGACAGAGTTTGCCGGGCGGATGGAAGGAGCAAGCGGCTGAGCTCGCTGGGCCGAACCGCGCTTCTTAGGCGCGGCGGCTGGAGAGGCCCGGAGCGCTCGGTGTATTCCCCGCCGTGGGAAACGTGAGGAACAGAACTGAGGTAAAGCCCCAAATGCCAGCAACCTGTCCCAGGGCACGAGACCTGTGCTGTGCCCCGAGAAACCCTCGCCACCCTTGGCATCTAGCTCAGAACCGGGTTTTGCGGAACTTGACAAATTAAGAATGCAAGCTGAGTCTCGAGTTGCCACGATACTGGGCATCCCAACACGACTCTTTGCCGCTTGTCCCAGGCTGTTGAATAACTTTCCGAACCTTCTACACAAAAGACCTAAGTAAATGGCAGGCAGGGGTACTTGTGCGAGCCTTGCACTGCTCTCTCCTGCCAGTCTACAGCCTAGCGCCCAGTGCAGCTGCACCGCGGGCCTCCCTCTTCGGTGAAGGTACCGGAGGTTCTTTTCTCCTCCCGGCATCTAGATTGCTACCAACACCCGTCACTGGGCGCTTTCTTAGGACCAGCCCTATGCTAGGGGCTGCACAAGAGACTTCCTCAAATCCCTCCCCAACAGGGTGGCCGTCACCGAATTGGGAGACACACACCAGCTATGGAAAGATAGTGACTGGCTAGAGAAGAGGTGTAAAGTGCTGATGGGCATGGTGGAGTGTTATGGTGCCCCTGAAGCGGGACGTTTTCCTGGAAGCCCTGGAAATTAAATTGGACCTTAAATTGTGGGAGAGTGTACCAAGCACTGAGGAAAGAGACCAAGGAGTGAAGTCCAGAGTGGAGTTAGAGATCCATGAGAAAGTGCAGGACAAGCTAAGAAAAAGAACACCCCACCCTGTCTTGCAGGCAGCTGCCCCAGGTGGGGGTGGCCCGAATGAACCCTAAAACTCAAAGGCTCTTCAGAAACACTCTCTGAAATCTGAACTTGATTCTGTAAGCAAAGAGCAGCCCAAGTTGCCCTAGTAGCAAAGAAGTGAAACCAACCAGAAATGCATTACAACTCTTGCCTTATTGTGGTTCTTCTGTTTGCGGCTACAGCAAAAGATGAATTCCCACCCCACCCCCATCTAAGGATTCTTAAGATTTATGTTAAATGTATATTAATCAGATATGAGGGTATTTTATTTCATTGGCAAAATGGATCTAAGGACTTGCTCTCTGATTTCAAAGAGCTATTTTCAGAGTTTGTTTTCAGGCTTTACTTTCACTGAACACAGCAACTACTGTTCTATCATTCACTAGTCATTTATTCAACACCCACATGTAACAGCACTATCCTAGATATTAGAACTTGGGGGTGGAAGAGGTTACAGTGTTGCCATTCATTCTAGACATAAGTCTAGAACTCTTATCAAGAAAATCCATCATTTTCCATAAGAAAATAATTTAGGGCCCTCCCTAGTGGCGCAGCGGGTTAAAGCACAGCACTGAGAATCTAAAGCCGCTTCCACATGAGCATGAGTTCGATTCCCGCCTGCCCCAGAGGTGACCACATGACGTGGCAGACCTCTCCTGACCCGCCCGCTGCTCCCCTCAGCAGTGTACTTCATCGATCTGCCTGTTCTGTTACCCACTCTGTCTCTGGTGAAGCCTCTCACCGCCCCTGAGCCTCTGGCCTGTACCCCAGTTCTATATGCACAAATAAATAAATCTTAAAAAAAAAAAAAAAGAATTTACACCCTTGGGGATATACGTGTTTCCTAGCAAATAATATCTTTATTAAACAAAACTTTGCTATGGATTCAAATAGATCAACTTCAGAAAGCAAGAGACCTGGAAATTGTTTTGCCGCATATTCTCTCACACGCTGCTGTGGGCTAACACCGATGCAATTCCCATGTTGCCCAGTGTAAAAGCAGGGACTTTTGGTTCCCCCAAGGCAGAGCCGTATTGTTGGTCCTATTTTCATTTGCTATTATAAATCCCACTATCTCCATGTCCTCCTAATTTATTTCATCATAACACCTATCCTCATGGGCCCAGACTAATTTGCTTGGCTATAGCAATGCAATTTTACATCAATCAAACTATGCTCAAGCAAAATAATGCAATATATGCAAGGTGATTTTTTTCTCCCGTCTCCAAATGCAACCTGAAATTACAGCCACTCACACATATCCCCTAGAGTTACTTTCCTTCATGAGTTTTTTTTTTTAGTCAAGAAAATTTATTTTTGTTCTTTTCAGTGCCTCACAGTTTCCAAAGAAAACCCAGGTGTAGAAAAGCTGTTGTCAATGACTATGAAAAGCAGACCATCAGCCAGCAAATTCATTGGCCCACTCCATAAACAGAACTGCAAACAACGAACTGCCTGTCAGAACCCGTGGTGTTCTGACCAACTCGTGTGGTGTGTCAGCTGACTGCTTGGGAAGCCCCATCTCCTGCAGGCAAGAATTCAGATGTCCAGATTCCCATCGTACAAGATATAACACTTAATGTCACAGAGAAAGGAGGGAACATGTTCTTTCCTCATTTTATCAATTCCGTTGCCCCTGTTTCTGTGCCAGCCACTAGAAAGCCCTTCTCCATTGTCCCCTTTCCCCCTCTGCCCCTCAGATATCTCACCATGGCAGATGGGCAGGGCTGCAAGGGCCCAGGGTGCAGTACCCACTTGGAAAGGAGAGCAAACTGTTCTGGAGTCTGTCCACTGGTCAGCTATTCAGGATCCAACAGGAAGGGAATGGTGAGAAGGAGTCGCTTCCTCCATTTAACTACTAAAAAAAGAAGAGAAAGAAGAACAATTGATGCTGTTATATCAGCATCTAAATCACTGCCATCAGCAAATTGAAGAAATGCAACCTTCTCTGCTGAGCTTTTTGCCCAGTTGAAATTTCTTCCTTCCCAGACTGGCCTTCATGTATACTGAAGACCCACTTTACCGTATCTTCCTAACTGTTGGCTTCCTCCATTTCACTCTCAACACTGCAGCCACAGAAATCTTTGGAAGGCATATCAGATCATATCACTCCTTTCCTTATGACTTTTCAGTGGTTTATTGCTCTTACAAAATGTCCTAAATCTTGACTTAACATCATCTACAAGGCCCTGCCTTCTTACCCTGCCATGGGTGGACCAACTGTCCCTCTTACTCGCCAACCTGCAGCCTATTCTCCACTCTTCACCCCACAGATCCTCCCCTGAGATCATAAGCAACTACCTCTAATATTTTCCTGGACTTCAGGTCTCAGTCTAAATGTCATTTTCTCAGATGACTTCATGGCTCCCTTTTACAGTGTTCCAAAGAACCCCTGTTAGTTGTACCCAGGATGCTGATGACTGAGGTTAGTAATCATGAAGAACAGCAGAAGTCAAAGGGGACTGTGGATGATGTCATACTGTTATGCTTTTCAAAAAGGTTGTAGATATATTCTAGTAACCTGGTAATCCTGATATCAAGACATGCAAGATTCTAGGATCCATTATTAAAAGGACAGGTTTTTTTCTCACAGAAGAGACTATCACCAGGCACCGCAATGAGTTCACTAAGATAGTTTGTCTTTTAAGATGCTGAGAAATGATTTCTAGGTTTGAATTCTACTTCCTCCCAAACTATATCAGGAGGATAGACAGAGACAAGGTTAGAGAAAATATAGTAGAAGACTAAATATCCTCCATAATAAGAAGTCATTAAGTCAGTATCATTTTATTATTTAGAAATAAAGAGGTAAATACCATAAGAAGCAGCTAAAATAATAAAAAGTTCTTGCCTCCAGGAGCACGTGTTGAGAATAGAAAAGAATGGGATAAGGACTTCTTCTTTTTCCCTTTGTAAGTCATATAACTATCTTTTAAATTGTGTACATGCATTATTTTCATAAAAATAAATCTAAATTTGAAAATACAAATAACATTTGTAGCAACAGACAGGAAGTAGAGTAACATACTAACCAAGAGATGGCAAAGATGTAGAGGTAAAACTAGTCCAAAATATAATAAGCAGATAAGCCTGAAGAGTAATTGATGCATGTT